AGATGCGTGCTTTACATTAGCATTCCAGGAGCTACTTCAGTCATAGAGATTAATTTGTGCCTGTGAATCACTGGGCAAGCAGATTTTGGACTTGTGGTCCAGAGCTCATCCAGTGAGCCCTAAGTTCCTCTGCTAGGGCCTGAGCAACCACCTTTCTTTTGGATTTTGCTGTAGTTATGAGATCTTTAGTACATTTCATCTTTCTTATGGTTCCCTGAGGAAAAAGCTCTTCTATTAATGACACTGCAAAATATGGCATACTTTGTCTGAATCTGAAAGAGCCACTGCTGGAAGTCACAAGTACAAATGAAAAAATTTGGAGTGGCTATGGCAGACACCACACTCTTAACAAAAAAAAAACAAACAAACAAACAAAAAAACAACAACAAAAAACCCCCAGAAAACCAAACCAACGAAACAAAAACACCCAAACCACCCCTCCATCCAATGGTAACAACTATTTTAAGTCTTGAGTTGAAAATCAAGATCCTCTTTCATGGTGAATTAACTGTCAGCAGATGCCTTTATTATGAACTACAAAAACTCCTGGTTGAGCACCTCTGCCTTATTGCAACCCAAACAGTATGTCACAGGGAGAAGACAACTTGAGAGAAGCGCACCCCAAGCCATGGCATGTTCAAGAAGCCAAAGGTAGTACCTTGAACTGGGTGGAAACCAGTATATCTGTTTCAACATCAGCACTGCGCATTAGCATTTATACACTACAGAAATGATAAACACTCTCAGTTCCTAGCTCGCCTTCAGCTACCATCCTATTTGGAGCATTCAGGAAGCGAAGGCATTAATCATGGCAACAAAACCTTTAAAGACCATCTCAGTCTAACCAGATGAAGAAAAATGGTTCTGCCTTTTAACAGAAGCCATCGATCCAGCACAAGTCAGGGTGTGAATTAACAGAAACAGCTTCTGTAGAAAGAAGCACAGATGTAATCTTTGCCACGTCTCCCAGGTATCTTGTCCTCCAACAAATTAACTCTTATCTAGGTGGCTTTTCAGCCAATTAGATTTAATTTACAGCCTTGCATTAAACACAAAAAAACCCGAAAACACCTCTTCACACCCTGACTATGAAATTGTCCTGTGGCATTTCATATGAACTTAAGCCCAATATGATCTTGTAGGAATAATGATCAAGTAAAAGAATTGTATGCCTGTACACTGTTCTGTTATGCTATGCTGGAGACAGTAATCCCAGATTAATCCCTGTTTGGGGTTAGAATTCAAAATAAGTGTCTTTTCCTCTATTACCACAGGATCATGATCTACTGAGAGAAATAACTACTGCCAGTCTAGTTAAAACCTGAGCCATCTCCTCTCTTTTTTTTTTAATGCCAAAATGATCCGTCTGTGATAAAAAGTCAGCTGAAAGTTGTCCCTAGAAAATGGTTTTCCCTCAAGTCCATCTGAAGTCTATCTACATAAATACAAAATGTCATACATGTGAAATTAGAGCAGTTATAAAGCAGAGTTGAAGAACAAGGAAGCCAGGAGAGAAGTCTCTTGGAATTATTTTAAGTCTTCAAGTTGCTGCTTTATTGGATTCTTTTAAGAAACAAAGACTGCATGACCACTCATCAAGGAAACAAGCCTCAGGCCAGTCAGTGCACAATAGTCCATGTCCTTGCCACACACAACACGGTTTAATAATTTGACTTCTGTTTGATGCCTGAAAACATGGGGGATTTTTGATAGCACCCTAAAATGGTGGTTTGCAATAGCATGGTAGCATGTTAGATGCAGGGGGCATGGCACTGCTGAAGATCTGCGCATAGGAGAAATTCATCGTCAGAACTGAATCAAATTTTCTCAACAGAGCAAGCTTTGCAACAAGAGAACCTAGAAGAAATGAATGTATGGATAAGCATGGGTTGTGGGGACTAGGGAGCCAAGCTGAGACATGCAAAGATATGCAGTAGAAAACACGTCTCTTCTTTTGCTTAGAACAGATTCCTTTTCCACTCTAAAAACTAGGACACTACACTAATTTTGGTGTTTACTTCATTTTCTTCTCCATGGATGACCAGCTTAAATCATAAAAATTAAATTTTAAATCTTTTTAAAAAGAAACAGTAGCTCACACAGCTGATCAGGGCTCCAACAGTGCCATCCCTTGCAAAGCAAACATTCTTTCTTGTGCCCAAAATTTCAAGCATGCTAAAGCCCAGTTGCACCAGAATTTATATTGTTTGTTCTAATTTAGAAAAAAAAAAAACAAAAACCAAAACCCCACGCTAACCAAAAATACTGAACTGAACCAGGCCAATTTGTTCATCAGTGATAAGTCTACAGTCACCTTTCAAGGTGCGGAAAGCTGGCTGTCCGCACTGCAGCTCTCGTGCTGAGGGAGTGTAAACGCCCCACCTTGGCTCCTCACAAATGCTTGCACTTGGCTACAAACAGCAGCGGGATGGAGCCCACCCTGCGCTCCCTCATAGCCAGGCTGCAAGTCGCAGGAAGCAAGGAAGGCCCGTAGCTTGCTGAAGACAAACCCCTACCTGGGAAGAAAAGCCCAAACTGCTGCTCTTTTGCCTGGTGCCGCCTTGCCTAAACCCAGCAGCTGCAGCAGCGAACAGCTGGATCCCAGCATTGCTGCTAGCAGGTGGTGCAGTCTGCAGCACGGGAGCTGCAGAGCTTAACCGCGCAGAGTGAGGCTGCAGCTGAAGTCGCACACCTCCTGGAAGACTTCTACTCGCTAGAGTACTCCGCAAGGTGCGGATAAGCCCTTTCCATCTAGACACCTGTTCTTTATCTTAGGCAGGATATAATGTATAAAGTTAAACGTGTTCTTCAACCATGTCTGTCGGTGAATTGGGAACCTCAGTTTATATCCAACCCATAGTCTTCAGCTGCAGTGTCCAAATCTTTATTTGCAAGAAAAAAAAAAAGAATTACTTTCTGGTGTCTTCCTGTGCTTTGCTACAAGCAAGAGAATGATAGTTAAGATAAAAGTGGTTTCAGGGTGCCTTCTTTATATGTGATCTAGTAATTAATTCCTTACATTATCCTCTTTAAAAGGCTCCCATAAAAGCCACAGATACTTTCAAGGAAAATACAGTAGCAAGATAATACCAGTAAAAATGGGGACAGATTTATATTCCATTAGAGAAAGTTATACTCATTTAAAAATAAGAAAATTTTAATACCGGCTTTAGAATTAAATGTTCTTGCAGTTTTCCAGAACAGATAACAGATGTCAAAACTGTTACTACTTCTGTCATAAAGGGACAGCTGGAACCAGTCTGAACTGACAAAAAAAGGACTTCTGTGGTAGGCTTGGCAATTAGACATAAGGAGTCACAAATCTAATTTTTCTTTACAAGTATATCAGTCAAGTTTTGAGTCATACTAAGAAAGAAGCATACATAAAAAGCATACATGCGACTGAACCTTGCTGAATGAAAGCTGGCGGGTTCTATAAATAATAGCGAACTGGAGATTCGTGAGAGCTGCTTCAGAGAGGGCGAGTTTGTTCAAACTCGTGGTTTCTCAGTTTGTAATCTCCCTTTGAGGGACCAGCTGTATGTTATTAGAGGAACGCACTGCAAAGAGAGGCATGTGCACTGACACAGTTCTTTCAGTCGTGCTGTGCAATGCACAGATCAGCTGCAGGCTGTCTTGCGGGCCACGTTCAGTGAAAATCGTTCACAAGTCCACAATGACTACGTGGTGTGCAAGGCAAAACATTAATATGACTTGTCTTTTATCAACAATAATGTTAAAACTCTCTACGGGCTAAAAATCTCTAAAGACCACAGTTGTTATAAAGTAACATAATTTAACATTTTTTTCTGACTCTCACCTTTAAACCTAGAAGTGATTGTACAGTATAAGCTTCATACATTTTATTTTACTTAAAATTTAGTTTTATTTCTGAAGTAGAAGTAGAAAGGAAGGATAGTCCGGGATCTTAGCAATACCTGACTTTTCAGGCAAAAAAGCATATATTCTCTTCATGACAGGAAATTGATTAAACATATTGAAAATATGGTGCAATTAGAAAAATCTGATGTAGGATGTACAAACCTACCCAATATTGTCTACCCATACAATCAAATTTACACATTTTTAAAAAGAAGATGGGAGGTTTCTAGGCTTAAGTGTAACTTGCACAAAAATGTAAGGCCTAAAGGTTTTTCCTAACCTTTTTCCCCGCCCCCTTCTCTCCAAGGATTTGCTGTGAGTCTTCAAGTGATTCTGTCGCATCCGAAAGCCGTCTTCAAGCGTCGTGGTTCTCAACCAGGAATGCAAGAATCTGATTTTCTGAAACAGATAACAACAGTGGAGGAACTGGAGCCAAAAGCAAACAACTGCACAAAGGTACAGATTTCCACGCTCACTAAAAAGCTTTCGTATCATCTCTGTAGAGGACTCTACTAACACAAATGTTATTTTGTAGGTTCTTGTATGGCACACACGAACAGAAAAAGTAAATCTAGCTAATGAGCCAAAACACCATCTGGACACAGTCAATATTGAGGTATGACATGGAGACACAGGAAGCACAGCACAGTGGGTGTGTCGGAAGCTGTTCCAGTTCAGCCAGTTCTATCATCTACTTCTGCTTGAGACTTTTTAACAGTCATCTGATGGACTTCGGTGGAAACAAGTTGTCAGATACTCTAATAAGCAAATCAAGTGGGTGTGCTTTGTTCTAACTTGTTTGCATGCATTTCTGACCTCTCGTCTTAATAAACTGACACTTACCTTTGTTTTAAGGCTGTTTCCACATAGTAAAAACAATCAAGAGAAACATGGCTGCAATAGAGTGTTTTCAAAATCATCATTTATGTATATACTTTTTGTATTTATCCAGCTTAATGGTGTAATTATAAACTGATTTTAAATCACAAACTGTTGATCTAAATATTTGCATAAATGGATCCTCCAAATTGAACATGTTTTCCTTCATTAAAAGTAGACTTCTTGAAGAAATAGCAGTCAAATAGGTCACACAATAATGAAATAAAAACCCACAATCATTTATGGATTTATCCTTTTAATATAGGGAAATAACATTTTATCATTACGAGGCACCATAAAATGTAAACACGATCACTGTCATAAACCTGGATATCTCTGCAAGGAAAAATAGATCTGTTCACATTGAGTTACCTTGTGTACATACTGTGCCGCTAGTTCTCAGCATTAATACTGTGTACGTGCCTCGTGAGCCAGATTGGATACTTTAACACAGGAAACTCAAATGGATCAAATGCTCATTTTTAAAAGAATAAACTATTGATTTGTAGAACTACAGCAACATCCAGGTTTATCTTTCTTCCAATAACCATATTCCCTGTTATGCACACCATAATAACATCACAGTGAAATGTATGATGAAACAAAGTTTGTTTGATCCACTAGAAAACATTGCTCAGTGATACATTTACATTCTATTTATATATGATTAAACATTTGTTCATACAGTACCGTCTACAGGATTACTGGGTAGTTTTGGGGGGTCAGGGTTTGTATTTTTGGATAGTACTAACATGAGAGCTACATCCCTTATATGCAAACATTTGATCTAGAATTTTGAGGGGAAAAAAGAAATCAGTATGTGGTTAAGCAGCTTATTAAATATATGGTCAATGAAATCACATGGTCAACGAAATCATATGCATTGTATGAAAACGCTGCCAATGATGTAGAAATGTATTCTTGATCTGCTTTTCACTACATCAAGTTTAAATCAATATAGACCACAACACGGTCAGTCAGTTATATTCTTAATCTGAACAGCTGGGGAAAAAGAAAAAGAGTATGTACATGGAAGGAACAGCGAAAGTAAATGCATTTGAACAAGGAATGTTAGGTGGCTGTTCTGGGTGAGACTTTGCTTGCAACTTTCATTTCCACAGTTGTGTGCTGAGAGTCTGACCAGAGGAGCTTCCAGTCCATCCTGCCGCTGTGCTGGGGGGCTGGCCAAAGCCCATCACGTTGCTGGAACTGCTGAGGGTCATTCCAGCCATTTGCTGATTCATCTGCGGAGCATACACACGAGCCCAGTTAGCACTGGTGCTGAAACACAACGTGCTGCTAGCCAAAAAGCAGTCCTACCTCCAACCAGCAACCCAGTTAAAGGACGTTTCCCTAAAATCGGTATTTCTTATTAAATAAAAATACTGCCTCAATATACGTTTCTAAGCATTTTTCAAGATGGCCGCTTTCCTGGAACCACTCAATCACCACTGTAAGTCAGCTGACGGGCTGCAGCACTTGGTGTATACGCCAAGTCTGTATAAACACCCCGCTAGCGAATTTACAGAGCATGTGACAAAGGAGTCCAACGTGTCTCAGTTGGCAAGAGCTTGCTTTCAAAGTTTCAAAGCTAACCAGCAAAATTGTGGCAACTGCGGTAAAGAAATGCCATGCAAGTAACATAGCCTTCTCTGCATTTGCAACCCCAGATGGTTTTTGTTCCAGCAATATTTCTTCGGAGACCTCAAAATCTTGAATACACAAGTTTTTATAGAAATTGTCCACTTAAGTGACAATCAACAAAGAATGAGGTGGATTTCTAAACTTGAGTATTATCTGAATCTAACCATTCTTGCTAAAGAATCTACTCAAGATACCATAAGTTTTTAGAAACAAGTGCAACCATTCATATGAAATTGAAGATGACATCTAGTTAAAGGTGGGAAAGAAAAATTCAGCACATTCACTTCAGGGATGGTGCAAAAATATTTCTACTCTCCACAAATACTATCTCGTCACTGTAATTTTCAGCGCTCCATGTAAAAACGTTCTTCAGGTTACTCTCCCTTGCCTTCTAAAAAATGAACACTTACTGACAAGCCAAAAACCTAGCTGTATAGACAGTAAAGATGTCCCCTCTCAGGAGTTTGAGAGCAAAAGAGCATTCAGAGCAATTAATAATCAGAACCAATGAATAGAGATGTTGGATAAGCAACATTAGATTCAAGTTAGAGACAACGTTAGGTAAAAATCAGAGTTCATGTAAACATGAGCGGACGATACTGGGTTGCAAAATGAAACTGGAACACTGATGAAAAAAATTGTCAAGTAAACTGCAAACTAATATTTCAGGGTAAAATTCAGTACTGTGCGCTTTCACATGTGTACCCGCAAAACCAACCCATCACTGAACTTGGAAATTTTAAAAAAGCTGATGAAAACATGCTTTGCCTAGTAGTTAATCTCTGGAGTAGAATTCTTGAGAAGTAGGCTATATAAAGTGTGTTATTCTGCAAGTAAAGCAAGCTCTCCCCTTTCAACTGGAGGCAGAGATGAGATCACAGTTCCCCTACAAACTGTGGAGTGTCGGCACGCTGGTAACGTCTGATGTGCAAGGAGTACGGAAACATGCGAAGAGCTTGTCCTGTGAGCCAACTTTTAATATATATTTGAGAAGAAGCACGATTTTAGTTTCAAAGCCGATATGGGTCTTTTTAAAGTTAGATACCTAGAAAAAGACTGTTAGCAGTAAATCCACAGATTTTTTTGGTTTGACATTTTGAAATTCTCACCTTTTAAAAATTACTTTTCAAAGCAGAATGACAGCCTGTATTTTCAAATAGGGGCTGTTTTATCCATGTAAGAAATGCCGCTTACCTTCATAAATGTTCACACCACGGGACTGAGCAGAACAGTAAAAATTAATATAATCCAACCTAAATAAGTCACTAAGGTTCACTTCCTGAATTACTAGAGTAAGCAGCATGGAATCGTTACATTGTTCTTACAATTCAAACAATAGTTGCTATCATCCCTACTGAACTCCAAGGGAATCAGTTTGTTCCCCCTCAATAATGTCTCAAATATCTGATTTCAAGATGTTTCATTGGATAATGTACAACGTAGTGCTAAGTGTACACTAACGCTTTTAGAGAACCTTTTAAGCATGTTTAAGAAATTTAAAAAAATAGCATGGAAATGCTACAGATAAATAATAGATTAGCCTAAGCAAATTATCTGTAGGAGAACGTTAGGAGTGCAAAGCACTGCAGATTCCACTGAAATTTATCCTGTAGCCTGTAAGTGAAAATATTAATTGTTAACGGCTATTCTCAAGCAATTAAATTCTGCTTTTGAGGCTGTGTTTACATTTCAGTATTTTGCAACTATAGCTAAGCTAGCTTTTTACCTGGCTAGTTCAGATGCCAGGATGAGAGTAGCTACAGAAGCAGAGAGCTGAGTTTGGTCTACCTGGGCAAAATTTATTCTCTGCTTATATATTAGTTATCTTTAATTGAGTTATTTGCTGATTTTTTTTCCACATGCCTCTCAGCAGTTCATAGTCCAGCAGTCTGTAACTTGGCTATACCGCAACTTCCCTCCTACAGCCAAACATTTTGTATCTGAAAAGCGGCATCTTTTCTAAAGCACTCTTGTCTGGGAATAGCAAGTCTTTACCTGAGAGAGGTTCCATTGAGCTTGTTGGTTTTGTTGCAATCCATACTTATTTTGTGGCGTGACCATCTGTCCCACCATTCCACCTTGAGGTCCAACGACATTTTGAGGAAGTCCCATCACACCAGTTTGTGTAGTACCAGTAAATCCATTGGGCATTCCCATTCCTACCATCACGCCTGTGCTCTGTCCCATGACTGGCACCGATTGTCCCATCATGTTTCCCATCATCCCAGTTGCTGCAGGCACAGGAACTCCCATGGCTGGAAAGCCTTGAAAATGAGTTGATGGTTGTGTGGTAAATGGCATAGAAGACGACCCCATGAACATACCTGTACCAGAGAAGGGAAGATATCAGCAGAAGTGTTTTGTGATTTTCTCCCCCATCCCCAGAAGTCAGAAGTGCACCAAAATAGTTTTAAAGGACAACTTTGTCCAGCTCTATGTCAGTGCTGTTAATTTAGTTTCTGGGGAAAGTAAAAAATTGCTTAAAAACTCTCAGAGGAAAGGGGCTCACCACCAGAGGTTAACTGCCACAAAGAGTTTGGCAAATCCCTGCAGTGAACCAGAATCTCTCAGTCGCTGTGTTGGAGGTCTTTGTTTTCATACAAACACAGCTAGAATCCAGATATGACAGCTCTGTACTGCTCCTGGCAGCCCGCTGTTGGCGCAGCGGAGACTCGGACCTTAAGTGATGAATTAGACGGCAGAGGCTGGATTCACAAATCTTTCAGAAAATTGTACACTTGGTAATTTGAACAGCTATAAATAAATTAAAATCGCATACTATTTTTTTCTTTAACTTCTGTATTAAATTTCAGTAATTTTCTCATTTTTGTAAATGGTAAAAATAAGAATCTTCATTTGACTGTAGGCAGCAGGGTACCCAACCTTAGTTTTATACTAGTAGGAGATAACTATTCTAGGTAAAGCTTAAAACAGGACCGCATAGAAACCTTTACAGAATTATTTACCCGGAGCATTTTGCTGCTGCATGGTTCCTGTGCCATACAGTGATAAGATGGAGTCTTTGGAGAGTTGTTTCTTTGCTGACTCTTCGGATTTTGTTGTTTGCTCAGTGAAGAGATCAAGATCCCCAGATGCTGCAGACAAGGCGGCAGCTGCTGGTTTAGTGGAAGTACTCTGGGAAATAAAGGTCAGGGCAGACTACTGAATGAAACCAGCAAAAGATGCTACGTTAAATATTTACTGCACATCCTCACTCCTGAACCAAATAAAACCCAGTTCATTTACAGAAATTAAGTAAATGAGGATTTAAAAAGATGTGGTATGACCAAAGACAAAAAAAGCAGTACACACGACATGGAAAGAAGACCAGGCGGAGGTTACAAAATGCACAAAACTAAAACCCCCACCAGCTCCGGGGCATACACATACAGATTGTTCATTCCCGTTGCTCCTGCATTTTTCATCAGTGAGAAGCATAAATCATGAGCTGTAGTTAGATTATGAAAAATAATTAGAAAATCAATAAGGAGATTACAATTCACATCTCATTAATCCTCTCATAGGCAGAATAGATTAGAGAAGAGCTAAAACAAGATTAAGTACTTTGGAATATACTACTACAACTACAATGAACAGTGTTGTTGGAGAAAAGGCAAGAGTAAAATTTCAGTTGATCTATTTAAAGTAATAACATTTCTAAAATACATTGTTTATAATTGGCTTAGAGTTCTTTAAGTGCATTTCATTTATTGAGAAAGCATCATTATCTGAAACTTACTGTACTCTAGGACAGAAAAACTAAAATACATGCAGGCTGTCAGGCTTTTTATGGCTCTTGCACCAAAATGTTTTATAAACAAATTACAACCAGGTGTCTTTCAGCGCTGTTACTTTGCTGCTCATACGTGTACAGTTCCATATGGGAGCTTGCTTAGGTGACTAGCCAATACACTGCATTCTTGTTAGATTTCTTAAAATACACAACTCATCCTGTTACCAGTGGGAACTTTTAATGCAAATCAACTGTACATGCATTGAAAAAGAGCCAGGGTTGCAACACATACCTAAATTATGGCCTTACTTTAGTCCAGCTAAACGTTCCCCAACTGCTTAGCATACCCCTGCCTAACCCCACAGCAGGTGCGAATTTCAGCTCTTTCCTGCACGGAAGGAAAATCCTCCTTGCACTACCACCACGAACAGACTGGATCTGCAGCCAGGCCCGTCTGTTTACTGTCATCGCATACCAAAGTTTATCAGACAGACAAGCAGCCACCACCACATACGCGGATACAGTAACACACCGATATTCTTGATTAAAGCAACAACCTCCAAACTTTTCCTGGTTTTGCTGGCAGGCTGCTGACTAGGTCCTGAAAAGTCCACTATGGTCACACAGCATTTGTACAAACACCACAGTACAAATATTCACTATGCAGCTTCAGAAAACACATCTGACTCCTGAAGTGCTAAAAAAGCTCTTGAAAAGCTAAAAAGCTCGGTGTTTATAAATTGGAGGGAAAAAAAACCCTGCAAAACAATTCTGGTACCAATTAAATTGGCCAGAAACCATCAGGAGAGAGCAGTGCAGATTCACATGGTCGATAGTGAAAAATCTCCAAAACTGCTGTGGAAAGGGAAGAAAAAATGAACAAGAAAGGGAAAGTCAGTGGCCACTGAAAACCCTGCATTTATACAACAGCCGATTTGGGCCAAGGTCAGTAGGCCTTAGTAAGCAACAAAAGGTAGGGTGATGGCACTACAAAGGGAAAGCGGACAGAACAAGACCAGGAATTGTTCAACTCCTGTGACACCTTCTCTCTGGCCAATGCGCACTTAAACTATCAACTTCCTTACATACATATTACAAAAGCTACTGCCTCTTGCTTATTACGGCCAAATATCTCTGATTGCAAAGCAAAATTGAAGTTTTTTCAATGGGTAGCAGAAAGCCCTCTGCATTTGAGACAAGACTTTGTCAGTGTGGCATAACCAATCTTTGAAAATACCAGAGTCGGATTTAATAATGCATTCAGGTAAAAGCCCATCCTAAATAGCAGTATTTGTTTTACCTGCATATACCCAGGAGGTCCCATTATTGAATTATTCCATATTGACATGGTCCTCCTACCATGGCATCTGCCTCGCACAGCCTCTGTACAGCGGCCATGCTCAGCAGATCGGAGAAGTGCATGTGAGCTCTGGAAGTGAGTTAACAGAGGCGGCTTCCTCTCTGCTGCTTGCACTGCAGGAAGGAAGGGGTTTGCTTTTCTCTAGAAGGCAGAAGAGCAGACATGTCTGGGTTTGTTGTTGGTGGTGGCTTTTAAATAAGTAATAGTATCAGAGAAGCTATTCTCATCTGGGATGAACCAAAGTTTGGAGTGTCTCCAGATCTATGAAATAGATCTATGAAAAAATATAGGTGCTTTAAGGAAATAAAGCCAATCACTACATGCATGCACAGAAGAGAAGGGAGAGATGAAGACCTATAGGACTGATCATCTGTTATGTTTATGTCATGAGAGTAAATGTTCATCTCTTCATTCAGTTTGGTTTTGGGAGATTCTGAGAGGAGTCAAAGCACTGAACAAGCACTCCCTGAAGTGTTCATCAGCCAAACAAATGGAAGGTAATGCAAAATACATGGCAAGAAAACAGCAGGTGGCATTCAAGTTAAAACAAAACCAACAACATTGACATGATTTTCACATCTCTAACAATCTCATGCTACCCAACACCTCTGTAAAAACACGCCTGGCACACATATAACATTTCTCCTTTAAGAAAGGCTACATGTAGTGCTGTCAAACGGTCATTGCAGCAAACTAAACGCTCATCAGGTAGTTAGGGAACATACTGCTGAGTGGTTTCATGATGCTAGTGTAACAGAATTTTTCAGAACTACTGGAAGTCATCTCCAATATGCTTCATGTTTAAACATAAATAATTTTGGTCATCAACAGCTTATGTATTACCTGTAAAAGGTAATACCTATCCAAAGGAAGTTTTCACCGTGAAAGGTTGGTCAGATGTATCAGGACCACAAATATGGTAGCTGAATCCATCACTTTACACTTGCCATCTGGCTACACAAATAGCATGTGGCTGACAAGAAGTTTAGATTAATGCACGAGACTAAAAATAAGTATTTTCATTTTGGCTTTTAATTCCCAAAAGACTGCAAAACAGTAACTAAAGATCATGACATCCTCAATGTTTTAAGTTGGTCTGACAGTTGTAGCAGTCCACGTGGGTTTTGTGCATTGCCTGTGGTCCTGTCAGTGCGAACCACTGGAAAGAGCCTGGCTCTGTCCTCTTTGCACCCTCCCATCAGTTATTTATATACATTGATGAGATCCCCCTGAGCCTCCAGGCTGAACAGTGCCAGCTCCCTCAGCCTCTCCTCATAGGAGAGATGCTCCAGTCCCTTAATCATCTTAGTGGCCCTTTGTTGGACTCTCTCCAGGATGTCCACATCTCTCTTGTACTGGGGACCCCAGAACTGGACACAACACCCCAGGGATCAAGGTGATGCTAACTGGCCAGTAGTTCCCTGGGTCCTCCTTCTGGTCCTTCTTGAACATAGGAGTGACATTTGCTTTCCTCCAGTCCTCAGGCACCTCTCCCAATCACTCAATCATTCAAAGATTATCAAGAGTAGCCTCATAAAGACATCGGCCAGCTGCCTCCATACTCATGGGAGCACCCCGTCTGGGACATGATCTATGTCCAGCTTGCTTAAGCATTCCCTGACCTGATCCTTGTCCACCAAGGGTACGTCTTGCTTGCTCCAGCCTTTCCTCCTAGTCTCTGGGGCCTGGGATTCCTGAATGCTGGTCTTGCTAGTAGAGACTGAGGCAAAGAAGGCATTCAGTACCTCAGCCTTTTACATTTACATATCCTGTTGTCACCAGGACCACTGCCCCTTTCAGCAACAGCCCACATTTTGCCTACTCTTCCTTTTGTCACCTATGTACTTGTAAGTCCTTCTGTTGCCTTTGACATCCCTCGCTGGCTGCCACTCCAGCTGGGCTTTGCCTTTCCTAACCCCATCCCTGCGTGCTTGGACAGCATCTCTGTATTCCCCACAGGTTACCTCTCCCTGCTTCCACCTTCTGTATGCTTCCTTTTTGTGTTTGAGTTTTGCCAGGAGCTCCTTGTTCATCCATGCAGGCCTCCTGGCATCTGTTGCCTGACTTCCTACTCATCAGGATGGACGACTCTTGAGCTTGCAGATGGTGATCTTGAATATCAACCAGCCTTCCTCGACTTCTCTTCCCTCCAGGGTCTTATCCCATGGGACTCTTTCAAGCAGATCCCTGAAGAGGCCAAAGTCTGCTCTCTGGGCTTGTGATCTTGGTTTTTGTGCTGCTCCTTCCTCTCAGGATCCTCAACTCCACCATCTCATCTCATGGTCACTGCAGCCAAGACTGCCACCGACCTTCACATCCCCAGTGAGCCCTTTCTTGTTTGTGAGCATGAGATCCAGCAGAGCACCCCCTCCTCGTTGGCTCCTCTATCATTTGGGTCAGGAACTTGTCATTGATGCTCTCCAGGAACCTCCTGGATTGCTTATGTCCTGCTGTGTTGTCCCTCCAGCAAATACTGGGGTTGCTGAAGTCCCCCACGAGGACCAGGGCCTGCGAGTGTGAGGCTGTTCCTAGCTGTCTGCAGAAGGCTTCACCCACTTGTTCTTCTTGGTCAGGCAGTCTATAGCAGACACCCAATACAACGTCACCCATACCTGTCTGCTCTTAAGTCCTTACCCATAAGCTCTCAGCTGGCTCATAATCCACCCCCAGGCAGAGCTCCATGCATTCCAGCTGTTCTCTTACATCAAGGACAACTCCACCTCCCTGTCTTCCCAGCCTGTCCTTCCTAAAGAGCCTGTATCTCTCCGCTGCAGGACTTCAGTCATGGGAGCCATCCCACCATGACTCCGTGATCCCAACAAGATCATAACCCTGCAACAATCACACAGATCTCCAGTTTCTCATGCTGATTCCCCATGCTGCACGCATTAGTGTACAGACGCTTCAGTGCGCCTGTAGGGATGCCCTAGCATGCTGATTTCCCAAATGGGTCTGTCTGGTGACTTTTTCCGTAATGGTGCCTTATAGGCACGTCCTTGCTTACATGCAAATGTTTGAGATGACACCAGTTAAAACCTCTGT